TGGGACCAATTCAGACTATCATTTATTTCCTTTGATTGTAATATGATCGATGCATTTTACGTTGTAAATAATACTTAAAATATAAATTATAAAATCATCACAATAATTTGAACGAACAAGAATTATTGGCCAGTGCCAATGTGCGTGATATCAACATGCTTTTTAATGCTTAAACTATTTAAATTCAATGAAAAACTATTAGTAATCAGATAATTTTTAACGCTAATGTGCAATCGTTAAAGTTATAATATCGATTGACTATAAAGATTATTAATTTCAGAAAAAATAATAATTTCTTTAAACATAATTGGAATTGTTGGAAAAATAGCTATCTAAAATGACTTATTGGAGCCAACCAGTTTTGTTTACGTATTTTTTTTCTTGCCGTAGCTAATAATTTTTTTTGCATGAATAGACATAAAACTAAAATCAAACATTCTTATGAAAGCAACATGAAAATTTTTATAATGTTCTTCTAAGATAAAAAAAAAAAAAAAAAAATAATAATTTTAACATCAAAAATCGGTATGATATTCCATAAAACTAGATCATTTTAATATTAATGGTACAATATATGGATATAAGTTTTTTTATTTAAATATTTACATATTTATTTGAAGTAGGTCACTCACTTAGTCATCAATCTTTATCCTTATACATGTTTAAATAACAAATGGACGATCATGGCATCACGTATCATGGCAGTGAGTTTTCAGAACTTGCAAGAATTTCTGATCTTTAATTTGAAATCTACAGACGTATCATAACTATCTAATGGAGCGCCGACACATAACTTTCCTGATTATTATAATTACTATACTCATATACCACATTTAACCCTCGCTTTCATTTGGTAATAGAAATATTTTGCTTTGCTTAACTTGTTTTTTAATTGTAATTAGTAAAGATAAATAACTCGGCAGACAAAGAGCAAACGCAACTGATAATCTCAACAATTATGGCAATTGCTCAAGAATTCGTATACTGGTATTGGCAAAGTGGTAACAACTTATATAATAATTAGAATATTTAATAATTTACTTATTACAGTCTTGTATGTGATTTCTACTAATTTTCTTTTACATTAACGTGTTTTAATACGTGTTTCAACAATTAAAATATTACTGATAGATAACTATCATCGGTCCTGGCTCATACTTAATCCATCGAAAATCAAAATCTTAAAATAACATTTATTAACTAAAATCTTTCCGTTCCCTATATTATAGATTATATGTATAATACTTTTTTTCTATGTTTGTGAAAATATATTTTATAATGATAATTTAATTTGCACAAAATTTTTTATTTTAAGTTTATGCTTAAATAAAACGTTATAGATGAGATCAAATTAATAAATACTATATAATAGTGCAATAGACATAAAATGTTCGTTAATTTAAATTCATAAATACGTACGGACGATTATATCGTCGTAACAAAAAAATTACGTGTTGTAATTATGTGTAAGGATGTTTGCGCGCTTAAGACCTCAAAATCATCATAATGTACGAATATAAAGATATGCGGATGGGCGCACACATTAAATATGATATTGTATACAAAAATTTTTTTTCATAATTTATTGTATACAATTCGAAACGAGTTTCATTACAGAGAAAGAAGATAAATTTTTTTCTCAAGAATTTATTATCGCAAATAAATATTATGTTTCTATACAATATGAGCATTATCACGAGTATTATAAACAATAATTCACTAAACGCGTGAGATTAAAGAAAATGAGAAAATAATAAGAATACATAATATACTAAACCAAGCCATTTTCACATGCATCAGACAGTTTAACGCGTGTCCGTTTATCTAAGCGGTCGCGCATCTGTAATGGAAATGTTTTCTATTTTTACACGTAATATTGATACGAGAGCTAACGAAAATGAAATGCATAGTCAAATAAATGGCAATTAAACAGAAAATAAATAAGTTAAGAATGTAGAATTGTTTAAGGTAGAGTTTGTTTTAGTTGTCGTGCAAAAATCATAAATATACAAGAACAAAATTAATATTGTATATTTTGAAAGGCTTTAATTAATAATACAGTTGATAATAATACAATTTGACTTCTTTTCATACCTTATTTCTTATGATTTTTTAAATATTAATTTCGAGGCATCGTTTTACGGAAAGAGAAAACTGCTGTGATAGAAAATTTGCATTTCATCCTTACTCACAATTTATTGAAAATATCAATATATTATATATATATATATATATATATATATATATTATTTTGCTTTCATAAGAACTATATTCGAGTGTTTAATCTGTATTAAAATTTCAATTCATAAATATCTTTATAAAAATAAATGCATTAAGAATTCTCATACAGTATATCATTTCGCAAAAGTCAAATTATTACACATCATTAAGTTTATGCTTTTTCGTAATGTCTAAGTCTTATTACATTTAAATATAAATAAGGAATAATAAAAACAAAAATTACCTTAAGAATGTAAGAAAGTATGAAATGCGAACGTGCTGTATTAACGTACAATAAACGATAAACATGTCCTTCCAAGCGCAACCTCAATATAACAAATATTAAAAACAACGTTTTATTTTTGCAATAAGCCCGAAATAAAGAAACAAAACTTACAGTTTAAAATAAAACAAAGCCGTTTATCATATGCAAAACTACGTAATTTATGAAAAACTGATGACAAACAGTATAGACAGGTTATTGTACTTTGTAATAGTAATACAACAAGTATAAATAGATCAACAAAATGAAGGATGTAATCGCAATCCTCCGACAAAATTATAATTATATTTCACAATTTTTGCGATTTTCTACATCTGTGAATGATTTATGCAACATATAAAATCAAAAATTATAAAACTGTAAATAGACGATTTCAATGTTCAAACTCTATTCGAGAGAATCCAGAATTTTCTCAAAACCTTTTAACTAAATACTTCGATCTTTCCGAAATTTCACACTTTAATAGAATAATTAAAGTGAAAATGTTATAATAATTACGAATTTTGTACTTCCAAAATGTAGTTGTAAAGACTTTAAGATATAACCAAAATATAAGGGAATTTAAAAGGAATTAAATATAATATATATAAGTAATCGTCTAATTATTATACATAGTTTTAACGTAAATAAACTTAGAAATGAGTAAAAATGGAACACTCAATACAAATAAAAATTTACTGTAACAGCTCTTTTTCTAGTATGTCCGGATTCTTTCGAGTGGGGCGAACCTTAACAAAATTTAAGGAAAATTTTGTGCGTAATACTAGTGTAATATTTCTCTCGGAATATAATAGTTTATAATAAAGTTCAATCTTTACGGATGCGAATGCAAGTATATGACTGTGTTATTTAATACGAAATATAGAATTCAATTTATCTCTATAATGTACCGAGCATTATAACACAAAGCTATGTGTTTCTCAATTTTTGATGATATATAGAAAAAGTGGGAAACAAAAACTAGATCTAGTGAACTGGTTTCATAATAAATCAAATCAATATTCAATTTGAAGTGATACTTTGCTTAAACACATCTTATGTGTTTAATATAATTAATTGAAGATCTTGGAATGCTATATATTGCAGAATATCAAAATAATATATTTAAAAGAATTTTTCTTTAATTAGATCATTTATATATATATATGTATAATAATTATTTTAAATAAATTATTTACTTTACATTTTTATTAATACTATTAAGTATTATAATAAAAATCTTATTATTAAAATATATAATTTAAAAAAATATTACTATTTTATATTATTTAAAAATGATAAATTTTAAATTATGTAGAAAAAAGTTTTCTTTGTACATTTTGTAAGTTTAGTAATTTTATTTTTATTCATATTATCAAAAACAAAATACAGCAGTCATTTGGATTTTACATACAGAAATACAAAAAAAAAATGCAATAAAACAAAACAATAAAATGGCAAATAAAATATATCAAATTTGTTTATAAATTCATTTTTATATCTTAATCGTATTAATTTTAATCTTTTGCCATATAGTCTTTTATAATTTCTATTTATCAAATACTTAATTAAGAATGAAGATGTTAGATGTTAGCTGTTGAGTAAATTAATTTAATATTGAAATAAACATTTTCTTATCGTTATAAATTTATTAATTAAATATAAGTAAAAAGTACATAAATTCAAAATGCATCAAATCTTTGAATCATAAAAAATGTATTGAGGATTGCTAATTACGATTTTTAACAAAATCAATATTTTCTATCTACTTTCGTATTAAAAAAAAAAAGAAAAAAAAATACAAAAAACAGAACACTAGTTTGTTGCATTAAACTTTTCCAATAACTCAATTATTTATGTTATGTATGAATGCATATGTGAGAGTGCGTTTGCGTGTGTAAATATAAATTAAAGTTGACAAAACATGTTGAATGTAAAACTGAATAAAATACAAATTATTTCTTTCATCGTCCACAAGTACAATTTATTCAATTTACTTATCTGATGTTAATTTTGCAAAAAAAAAAAAAAAAAAAAAAAAAAAAAAAAAAAATTCAAAATCATGCGTTAATTCTAAATGAAGAATACTACCAAAATACTGGATCTTTAACGCTATAGTAAAATGTTTATATGCAAGGCGAATGCATATACTACGATGTTTTCTTTGATTGTAACTTTAAAAGTCTTCGACTATAATTCTAAGCACTTGATTGTACATAAGTATGTGATAAATATACATATATATATATATATATATGTAAATATAAATCGATCGATCTTTTTAACTTTTAATTATCAAATACTTGTAATTATGTTAAAGCAAAAAAATAAAAAATCATATGAATAAAGGTGAAGTTTCAATGTACATGGTCAACTTATTATTTATCCCTCCCTAACATTTCCCTAAATACTCATGTTTCTTTAATATTTGTAGTAAACTACTTAAAAAGAATTTTTTATCATCACTAAAGCAATCTAATATATTAACAAGACTTACTTACTTATATTCAAATTTATTTACAATGTATACAATTACAAATATTATGTTTTAATTAAAACCGATGTGTGCCAATTGTGGCATCAAATAATTCTGGATTAACAAAGGATCCAGCTTTTTCAATCATATAGTTAAATTTATTATTTCTTATTTTTATATACACGCATGATCTTTTATCCAATCTAGATACTGTACAGCTTATCTAAAACATAATTATTTAAATATTTAAATTTAAAATCAATTCGATGAAAATAATTATATTTATTTCTAAATTTATACAAAGATTAGATACATTACCTCTGATAATGGTACAGTTATTTTATGTTCGCCTTTTATCGGATGATAAGTGACTATAGATGCCTTTGTGCTGCCTTTATGTAAAACTATGTATTTTACAGATCTTTTCGTTACATACCATATAACAAACAATACCACTGGACCTATGAAATATTTGTATTATTATTACAAAAGAATTAAATAATTAATTGGACTATTTTTTTAATATTTGACTGTAGAAATAGACAATTTTATTTACCCATCTACCAATCAATATTAATAAAAATTTATCATTGCTTTTAAACTATAAAATATATTACAAAATATTATGAAAAACATAAAGCTTACATGATAAAACACCAACAGCAATCAATGATAGAGGGAATATATGTTCACGTAATCTTGTTAACAAGTTTTTATCTTCATGAAAAAGATCTTTGCATAAAATTAAATAAACATTATCTATCATAGACAAACTTCCAAGAAATACAAGAACTGCACATACAACTGAAATTTTGAACATCCAAGGGTTTTCATATTTATATAACATAACATTATTCTCCACTTTTATATTATAACTTAATCGATCTGTAGAGAATTTTTTAAAAAACTGGAAAATACTTGGTCGTATCCATAAAAATTGATGAGACGTACAATTGTTACCAAAAATTGGGATCCTACAGTTATAATGGATGTAAAATAATAGATTTGATTTTAATTTTCAATCATTAGTAATCAGTATTGTAAATTTATATAACAGTTATTAAACTTTCTATTATATAATAAAAACATACAATTTTACTGTATAAAATAATGAAACAATATATTCAATTCAAACAATAATAATAATAATAATAATAATCAACGTCAAATCATAATTATTAACATAATATTAAATCTAACCTGCTTGATTTGTTAATCAACGTTTTCCAATTGCAGAAATTTCGAGTTACGAGTGTATGCTGCTGATGCAACTTGAACTGCGGTAAATTTAAATAAGATTGTTTGAGTGCATTAGAGAATATAAAATGTTCGTGGGAATTGACATTTTTATGTAACCTATAAATGGTATTTTGAATTCTGAACATTATGACTTTCTTAAAAAAAAAAAGGATGGCACGGACTAGACAATAATTACAAAACAAAGATAATTTTATAAATTCATTACTTTTTTTTAAATACAACAAGGCTGATTGCCTGACATAAATCTTAAACAATGTCGTGTAGCCGGAATCGTTCACTCGTGCCCAGCGAAAGATCAGCAAACTATCAGAATCCAAACAGCTCCATCTATTGCGAGCTTACATAAACTTCTTTCAAATATCGATTCACACTAAATTATCATATGAAATTATTATTTTTTATCAACAATCATTAATTTAGACATTTGTAATATCAATCTGGTAACATAAATGATAGGTAAATAAGGTTTCATCAGCTACTTCCAATCAAAATCTATAAAATACATTTGTACGGATTTTGTATTACTTTTTACCGCAATTCTTATTTATCTACAATTAAAAATATATATAATATAATAACATGCAAAGAATAAACTGAACAGCATAAAATAAAGTGCATGAGGTAGTAAAGTGAGTTGGACCTAAGCCAATCATTAATATTTAATTTTTCTCATGCCTGATTTACATCGATATTCCTTTGTTATTAGGTAATTCAATGAGTAATTTTATGTTCTATTAAAAAATATGGAAATGTAAAAATAGAAATTCGTAAAAAAAGAAATACATAAGTTCGTTAATTATAAATTAGTAATAAAATCAATGATTTTTTAATGGTAAGTTATAATACTATAATGGAAATAGTATTTTATAATGGTTGTTTTCATTGATTAATCGAACAAAGGTGTTTAAATACATTTGCGATATTTGGAAAAATATTTCGAAATAGTGATGAATCAACGGATATTCGTAAGTAGCAAGAAACAGATTATTTATTTGAGATATCATAAATTCCTCGATAATGGCAATGTCGTAAAATCTTTTTTAAAAATTACGCAGAATGTGGCCTTGCATTATTCTTTCTATAAAAGAAATTGTCATTTCATTAGAGCATAAGTTTCATGTTCCGGTCTTTCGATAAAAAATCATAACTATTCAAAATATAAATATCAATTTTAATTATTCATTTACAACGATTAAATTTATTTGCAAACACTACTTCCTTTAATTCATGTAATCTAAATAATACTTATAATCTCAATTCTATATTATTTTATTTAAAATAATACAATATAAGAATTATTATTTTGTATGTTTAACAAATTAAAAAGCTTCATAATAAATTCAATATTTTTTTGGTAGTATAATATGTTTTTATAATAATATATTATGTAGATAAGAAAAATATGTAAATTCATTTATAAAATTAGCAAACTAACAGAAAATAAATGTTATAAAATAATATTAATAAAAGAATAAATATTAAAAATCTCTATATTCATAAAATTATTTATTACTTTAATATATATATATATGTATATAATTTTATATTCAATTGTTTCGCTATAACTTTCCAAAAAAAAAATTATTTATAAAATAATTCCTTGAAAATTGATCATATTTAAAATCAGTGTATTAAACGAAATGAGTACAAATATTTATTTTACTGGCGATTGTGAAATATTTGTTAATATGATTTGATAAAATTTATATTTACTTTACTTTTGTTTTTATAATAAAATACTAATAGATCAGATGGAAGAATTTTAATAAAAATATAATATATTGTCTAGTTATTTTAAATATTAAAATAATACATTTAATTTATTATAATTAATAATAATAATAATATAATTAATATTGCGCGTATATAAAATATGCTAATATTAATGAAATGCTTATATAATTATAAAATATGAATAATTATATAAATTATTGTATAAAATATATTTAAAGAATTCAATTATTACATCAATTGATATAAATCAATTGTTCTAAAAATGTTAGTTTATTTTATCAAAGTCTTTATTCTCGTCTAATGTTTATTTATGAATAATTTTAAGGTTACTATATTAAAATTAATTTTTCACACGTTATACACAATAATAAGTATTAATATAAATCTTATACGTGTATGTCAATAATAAAATAAGTATTCAAAAGTGCTTTAGATAAAAATTAAAGGAATTCTTTAATTTTGTATAATTTTGTATACAAGATCGACTATATTTTACAATCTGTATTTTTGATCTACAATTTTTAGTAAAATTTTTTTGTTCAAAATGATTATACTCAATAAGTACAAATAATATGTAATACTGTGTTATATTTTTTATTTAAATTAAAAATTGAAAAAACTAAAATATTCATAATTAATTTTACAATCTAATAAACGAACACACTAGGCATTTAAAAAGTAAATTAAAAAAATGTATTATAGTAAAAACTAATATATTATTAAATTAAAATTTTAAATATATGTTCTGTCAAATAAATAGGGGAAATAAATTTTTTTTTTTCGAATTATTAGCGGAATATTAAGTTTATCAAAACAAATATCAATATCAATTGTGATTATAAGAGTGACTGTAAGATTTCATAAAAATAAAACTAACTAAGTCATTAGACAATCTATTGGAAAAATTAGTGTATCAACCCATGATCGACCATTTTATATATATAAAAAAAAAAAAAAAATGATTTTATAAATATATATACAAGTACACGTACAAATAGTTTAATTTCTATTTAATTATATTGATGGTTACAGAAGCTGTTCGATTAAAAAAATGTAATCAATAAAAAATAAAATAAAATAATATTTAACTAAATTATATTATAAGTATATGCATTAACGACAATTGAATGTTATTATTATTCTAAGAACTTAGACAAGAGATTTATATTGTAAATTAATATTGTCGTTTGTTTCTCTATTTAATTATACGATAGACCGTGTGGGCATTGAATGTATAATTGCCACAACTATTAATATGCTGGGTGTGTATGTAAAAATTAATTTAAACAAAGATTATTTCCGTAGATCGATTAACGCATATAATATTTGGAGAACCAACAACATATTCAATAATACTTTTCTAAACATCTAGTTTACGATGCGATTTGTCAATTCGTTAATTTAATTAAACTAAAATTGTTTAAAATTTTGTTAATTTGCTAATGACTGCTTTACTATCTACATTATTATTACGTACACATATTATGTGTCTTGTAACTGAATCATTTTCTCCGATTCTAATCTTTAAGGTCGTGTTAACTTGAATCAAAACTAGTATCACAATTGTATGAAGATAAATATGAATACATACATATAAATAACATGCATGAAATTCTATTATAAAAAATATTAATACATTTTTTAGTAATAATGAAATATATGCATTGCTTATTTTTTCATATTTGTCATATATTTTTATATTTAGTATTTAAAGTCTTAACATTATCGAATAATGAATATTTACAAAATGATGATTGCACCTCTCACTTATTTCAAGTAAATCAAAAAGTGTGCGTTACAATTGTAAAATTAACATATATTTTAAACTTATACACACGTACACATATGAATATTTGAAAATATTTATTTATAATGTTTAGCAGCAAGGACATTTTAAACATTGTTTGCACTAAAATGTAATATTTTCAAAGTGAACTTGACTTTTATTAAATTAAAAAAAAAAAAAAATCCATACAACTTAAAGTGGAAATTACATTTGAAAAAACTTATAGCTTTTTATAGTAATTAAATGTTGTAATTAAATTTAAAATAATTTTTTATTTCGAATATACGATCGTTCGAAATATAATATGTTAAAAAGCTCATAATATTGACATTTTTAGCGTATATTTGTTTTTTTCTTTAATAACCAATGGAAATACGCGTGTTGATGAAAAATTTTACAAACATCTCTTCCAGACAATCTACGTGTAGTTTTCAATTTTTATTGTACAGAATGTCTGTAAAAATTAATCAAAATACTCGTTTCACATTATAGAAATAATGCATTCCGTTTAAATTTCATGTATAGCCAGTTAAAAAATACATTACGCCATAATATCATATTGTTATTCATTATAATGCTGCATGAAATTTCTCTTTATTACGAATAATTTGATGTTGTATACTATGTTGTATACTGACAATTTTTATAAGATAAATATGGCTTAAATTGGCCAATAGCTCTACTTGTATATAAATTAATAATATTGACTAGTTATAGTTTTATTTATTTATTTATTTTTTTTTTTTTTGTTTTTTGTTTTTTTGTTTTTCAAACCCAAAGACTAACAAAGTTAACTTATTTATTTCCTTTATTCCAAAATAAAATGCAATTCATAAACAAGCTTATATCTGCTATTTCAATGTAAATTGCACTTGTATTATAAAACTTATAACCTTTCATGCTGATATTTACGATAGTATGCTAAGAAACAAAAATAATTTCTTACTCATCGCACTACAAATTGTATATTTATTATAACGGAGGCCTTTGTTGCGAATGCGATATAATTCATTATTATCTAACTTTTAAGCGTACGTAAAATAATTGCACAATAAATAATGTCACATTACGTAAAAATAGCACGTAAAAAATTGTTAACAAGCGTGTAAAATGTCGGCCAATTTATTTCAAATTTTTTATCCCGTCTACGTGCTTCCTTGTGCGCAAACATCCCGGCGTCCATACGAACGCGAAATATTTTTTTTCGCCATCTCGCACGCGGTCAACAGACATTCCTCCATAATACGAATAAATGTATGTATATAAGGCAGCGAGAGCCATACGCGATGGGCAAAGTGTACGTGTCCTTATCTGTCAGAGCCGAGTCGCACATTGACGTAACTCGCCTACGGCCATAGAATTACGACATTAAGGAGAGCGGAACGCGCGGGTGGGGCTGGACGCGGAAGCATCGGAGCAATGTTTAATGTAGGGGCTCGCGCTCGCCGATCCGCTCGGTTGTCTACAATGGAAAAGAGAAACTAAGCGGAATTGACGAGGCAGGCCATTGCGGCTGCGTCCCCACGACCAGTCCTCGGATGCTGGTATCGTCTGCTCCATCTCGATGTGCTACTGCTACTCGGATCATCCGGAGACTCACGCTCCGGCAATTCTACACGCGCTCTTGACAAATTGCTCTCACCCCCTTCTATCGCACTTATTACTGCATTATTCGGCGGCTTTCGGGGCTGCGCTTATCGATCGCTCGAGCTTCTTGAAAGTCAAGAGCGGCAGTGCGAGGAAAGGTCTCACGAATGCTGGCACAATAGCCAGCTGCTGAAGTGGTAAAAGATAGAGGGGGAGGGGCGGGACAGTTGGCTCGACAAAGTCATCGTTGCGTTCTTAGCGGGAATATGAATCACCGCCACTGCTATGAATCACCGCCACTGCTTCGTCGTCGTCGTCGTCGTCGTCGTCGTCGTCGTCGTCGTCATCGCCATCGCCATCGCCATCGGCGACGTTGTCAGCGGTACAGTCGTAAGCTCGACCGTCGTATCGTCTCTCGATAAGAGAAAGATGGATCGTTATTACGGCAAGGAGATTATGGCATTACATCCCTAGTACGACCGAAGAAGCGGAGATTTATTTAAAAGATCGCATAAAACTTACGGAGAGCAGCGATGTGTGGACGATGGTAGGAGTGAAAATCGTCGGCTAGTCGTTTATTTACCGCGTGATATCACGAATTCCCGTGCAAAACGTTCTCGTTCATACGGATCGAAAAATAAGGAGACGCGCTAAGCCACTCTCGCCGCCTCTTACTTTCTTTGACTTTTGACAGTTGACGCGGCCTCGCGCGCACCAGCGGCGACCGAATAGCGAATGACAAGGATCCCGGAGGATCAAGGCTCGTAGTAAAGATGTCTCGCGCGTCCATACATCATCGCCAAGGAGTGTCCCCGGATCGTTGCCGCAACATCAACATCAACAACAACAACAACAACAACAACATCAACATCAACATCAACATCAACATCAACATCAACATCATCGATACAATTAAAATAGAAGGATAAGGTGAAAGTGTGGTTGTCGGCGCCGCCGCAGTCGTGACATCGACACCACACAGTACCGCCAGCAGTAACCGAACTGCTACCACGAATAAACGCTAGTGCGTGCGCGTGGCGTGCTTGTGTGCGTTTTCCCGTAGAACGAGAAGGAGCGAGAGCGAGGGAGCGAGCTAGACACACAGAGATGCAGTGAGCGTGAAGGAACGAAGGGGATACGAGGAGAGGTGCAATTATGCGAGAGTTGTCGCCAAAGTTGTTAATCCAGCGAAACTGCTGTCCGTTGTCTCGTCATCCACAGGATTACGAGGGCTCCGGTGCATTAGGACTCGCGTATTATTATTGTACGTGTGACTCGTGATCGCAGACGTCGCCTAAGGCTTACGACTGTGCGCGTATATGTGATTAGTCCCGAGCCCGAAGAGAAACGGCCTCGCCTTTTTCCCCTTTTACCCTAAAAAATTCCCAACTCTCCCTTTTTCTGCCTCCTCGCCTCCGTTTATGTTTTTGATTTTTCTTTTATCGTATTGCTTGTTTGGTACGAGACTCCTTGTACGTACGGCCTCCTTCTGCCGCACACTGCGACGTTATACTTCATGTTAGTCTCGATCGTTAAGAGACTGGCCTTTGTTATCTGCAATGGACTGCACACTGGAAATAAATGATGAACGGCATTGAATACGCTTGAGTTGTTTGTATTTTTGTACTTTCGGGAGTGCACGGAGTGCAACAATGAGATTTTCCCAAAATGACAAATCATGAAGTAATAGAGTGAGCGTTATTGGCATTGGAACAGGATCGATCCTTTGGCACTCAGTAAAAGTAAGACTTTTCCGTAGTCGCTATTCAATTTCACGCTCGATTATAATTTTAATCTCGAGAGTCTTGATATGGATAAGTGTGCGTTATTGTTGGACTCTAAATCTGCATCGATATTTATGATCAAATCATATATTTGTCTTAGTAAATTTAAAGTTTGATAAAACCTGACATCCGTACGACAGGCATGCTGCTATTGTAAAATTACAAAATTATTTTATTTTAATGCTTCTTTTGTTTAATAGACCTCGGTGCTTGTATTTGTCGATGCGAATAGAAGAATTTTTAATGCCATAGCGTGTATCATTATTTTTCTAATATCCGCTTGTTGAAAATTATTTTGATTAAATTTTAAACTTAATTGTGCGAGTAATTAATAGGCATTATAAATTAGTATAAATCAAATGAAAGGCTTATTGAAGCATTTTTTAAAGCATTGTTATGCATTATGTAAAACTGTAACTAAAATGAAAAAACCTTAATGTATAAATCTAATTAAAATACATTTGTTTTACATTTTTTGCAAACAATTATTGAGCATATCTGATCAATATGTTCATGCATATGGTAATTTCATTGGCTATATAAATATTTGTATATTATACATATTTACGTGTTTATTAATACAATGAATTAATTTCAATATAATATAACGTTTCAAATGTTAATAAATCAGAAAATCAATGGTGATTTCAAATCAAATGGAATGTATCTAATTCCAAAGTCAAATTCAATTCGATTCTTTATTCAGAAATATGCTTCCATGCACAAAGTATATACCAAAGTTATCGTAATAGATTGTTATTTATTTGCTTGTTAATATTGGACTTATTTATAGAGACTATAGTAATACTTTATGTATTGGTTTCGAATTAACCTATTAGCCATTCTACATAATGCATTGCCTGTAATATTCATTACAATTGTTCGCGCCAATTGTACACCAACGTAAATCCAATAATGGTATAAACTTTTACACATGTATTTATATATTCTTTTATTTGTGTCTTTTACTTTTGTTTTTTTGTTTTTTTTTATTTTACCTTATTAGGTTCTTAATAACTACTTTATAAATATGCAACATTCATTTTAAATTAAAATGAAATTGAGCCTTAAATATATATATATATATATATATATATCTTTTGCAGCAATATGTCATTAATTTTTCTTAAATCTATTTGCATTTAATAGCACAGGTCAATTATTAATAAAACTGATTTATTTCACAATAAAAATAGTTTCTATTGTAATCTTATAAAAGCCAATGAAAGTACTTAAAATGCAAGTATATGAAAAAGTAAATGTCTTAATAAAAAGTTTTATTACATGCCATTAGTTATTACCATCGGAAACAACAGAATCTATCGCTAAGCTATTATCATTGCTGGTCTCCCTTGGGCATTGTAATCATCATAATCGTGCGCATCAATTTATCCTTCATATTTAATTGAAATTTCCTATTTAATTGAAAGTGTGTGAATGGATAATAAATAATCCTTGCAATTAAATCTTGAACGTACATTATGCCAATTGTGTTTCAGAACATTAGCAAGAGAAAATGCATTCACGCAGCGAGAGATGAAACCAGTCACTATTATAGGGGACAGTAAGGATATATACCAAGTTGATTAGGGGATGCCTAGCCTACACTCGCTCGTCATACGACGAGCTGTCCCCATGGATATGGGTACTGCTGCAAGTTCCGTAACCACGGTGAACGCTTCATCTAAACCCAGTGGCAATGTAAATCAGAAGAAAATGGAGAAGAATAATAAATTGAGTGGCATAAGGCTGCCTCTGCTGCGAAAAGAGTCCAGTGCAATTAATTTAACCTTAGCTGAAAAGTCAATGAACAAGAGAAGTGGAGAGGCTCCACTGCTGAGGCCAGAGAGCAGTGGAAGCCTGGAGGCAAAAGGTGGCAGTTGGGTGAGCTTAGGGCCGACGGCTCTAAGGAAATGTGAGACTGCAGTGGGACTAAGTACTTTGGCTCTCGAGGGCCGACCGGTAAATCGAAGTAGAGTTTGTTCGCGCTGTTCTAGTTTATTGTCACTAGCCTCAAGTTCGCGATACAGCTTAGCCGCTGGAAGTTTCGTTCCCGCGGCTACCTCACAACAGCAAGTCGGTCAACTGTTGTGCAAGCTTTGTTTGTCAGACGTCTCGATGTCGCAAACATTCACCATTGAAAATTGCGGATGCTCCAATTGTAAAGATGTATGTAATTACTTTTACTATTCGTGTATTACAAGATACATCGTGACACATTTTGCAAAAATACAAGTTCAACGTGTATTTTATTCGATGATATCTTTTTGAAGATTAAAGAGGCTTTCAAGTTGTTTGTTATAATGAAAATATTTATATATTTATAATGTTTATGCATTATAATTTACATATCATTATACATTACACATAAACAATTTAATTCTCAGATTTTATTATGCACTTATATCCTTGATTTAATGATCATTTTAGAAAGTCTTCTTACTTATGAACAAAATTATTTAAAACTGTAAGATTTGTATATTTATGTAAAATTTTATGTAGCCATTCTATTGAGCTGACAAGTTAGTTTCATTAAAAAATGTATAAATTATATTTAACTTCCTTGAACTTAAAGGAATAAAATAATAGATTAATGCTAATCATAAAATAATATAAAATTTATAAAAAGAAAAAAAATATATATATATATATATATATATATGTATATATAAAACATTATTTATAATATTAGTTGTATCGTTATACTGTTGTATAATATTGTAATTAAATGTGTAATTAAAGATAATTGGAAATTTTCATTTATGTGTTTATTTATTTTAAAATAGATTTTGAAACAAATTACTTTTGTTAATATAATTGTTGCACAGTCAATGTTAAATTGAGGATATTTGAATCAATGAAGTTTGAAAATTGTGCTATAACTTTTTATTGCAAATGGAATTATTAACTGACTTACTACTTTTTATACTGCCACGATACACACGCGCGCGCGCACACGCACACACACACATATATATATACATGTGTTTTTTATGCATGCGTGTGTATATGTATTATTAGTATCTAAGTCAGTCTAAAATGTAGTTGTATAAAATATATTTAGATCATCAAATTCTTTTTTCAATCTACACGAGTAATGTTATATTATTTAATGCGATTATCAAATAAATATAAAGAAACGATTTTATTTTTAGTGTATGCGTGCTTATGTGGAATTTGAAATAGAAGAAGGAGCTTATGATATCAGTTGTCCCGATGCAAAATGTGATCAAGATGGTATGCTTTCCTTAAAAGAAATTGGTACACTCGTAACTCCAGAACTTGTGCAGAAACATCACAAATTTCGTCTTAATAGAGGTTGGATTTATATTTTATTCAATTCCTATAATAAAAATTGTAAAACATTTACAAATAGTTTCAATCTATATAAATACACAAATATTTTTTTAAAAATTCATTCTAAATGCTTATGTACTTGTTTACTACTATATAAATAAACTAACAAATATTTTAAATTAAAATATTTATGCAATTATTAACTTTGTTGCATTAAAAATTAATTAAAAATGTGATATTATTTAATAGTTAGAAATATGACTATTAATTATGAATATTATAATACCTTTAATTAATGATAATGAATATATAACAATTCATATTTATTTATTCATAAATATTCTTTAAGATTTTATAGTTTGAATACATTAAAAGTAATCAAGATTGCATTAATATATTGGTAGCGTTTAAAATTTTAAAATATAACTTTTTTCTATTAATCTAAGTAATTGTCTACCCCTGCCATCCCCCCTCAAACAAACAAAAAGAAACCAAAAGCCATTTTTATTAAAAAATGAAAGCTATCATCACTTTGAATTTTACGTAATGAATCATAAAAATTTTCGAATTTTGTACAATAACAAAGATATTTATTTATCTAACAAAGTAGTTAATATATTATTTACTCGATAAATATTAACAATATTTTACATTTAATTATTTTCAATTAGAAATAAAAAGAACGAACAAGGTAAATAAGTATGTTAAATCTATTATTGGCATTAAAAAAAAAAAAAAAAAGAATTATTTGTTCAATACATTTCCTCGTGCATACTTTACATTATTTTAATTTCATTCATACTATTAAACTTACCGTACAGGTTATTTTAATTATGCCCTTGTGTGCACACATATGATTGTTAGTCGCATACACCATACACGCGGTTAAAATTAGTTTCAACTCCATATCCGGTAAACGTCACCAGTTTAACAGAGTATAAATTTTATTAACTCAATGATCCTTGGCAGATGTGTCGATGGACAAAGAGAGAGCATGGTGTCCACGAGCTGGCTGTGAAACCATTTGTTCATTAAACGACAATGGATCCAATGGGAATTCACCAGGGCCTATGCATTGTCCAAATTGCTCTACAGACTTCTGCTCTCTTTGCAGAGAGCCTTGGCACAATGGTCCCTGCCCCGAGCTTCCATTGGGCATACCTTTTAATAGTGATCATATCAAGTGCTGCCCAATGTGTTCTGTGCCAATTGAGAAAGATGAGGGCTGTGCACAAATGATGTGTAAGCGGTGCCAGCATGTGTTTTGTTGGTATTGCTTGGCATCGCTGGATGTAAGTACATTGCAAGACTTTCAATTCACGATATTTCTACATTTTTTCTTAAATATCAATTTTCATCATATCATAAGGTTTCATAGAAATTCAAATGTTCAATAGTGGGACAATGAATAAAATTTTTGTGATAAAAATTCGCTCCTACGCGATTAAATCTACTCGTATGTATGTATTATTTATTAGTTATAATATTCAACTAAACACATTACAAGATTTATCTTAAAACATTATGAAAAATGAATAATTATATGATGTTCGATAATAATGTAATTACAAAAAAGAGACAATATTCAAAATAAAAAAAAAAAAGTTTTGTACAAAGATATAGTTAATTCAATATTTGATGAGATAAGTATGTGTATTTGAAAGAATCTAATTTGTAAGTCAATATTCAACATTGTGAGATAGCGTCTACATATATATATATATATATATATATATATATATATATATACGCGGACGCGGACACGTGTGTGCAGTATAAACTGTGATTGTATTTATTGTAATTTTTCAATTTAATTGCAATACTAAAATCATTTACTAATTTAAAAGCTTTTAAAACGTAATTGCATATTCATATTCTTTGAAGAATTCACGTACTCTATACTATATTCTATTTTAAATCTAAATCTCAACATGTTTTCATTCAATTTTACACTTTATTTATTTTAAAATCTTAAACCCGACAGTTTTGTAAAAAGTATTACGTTGTAGCATAATCTCCCATAATATTATCACATATTATTTTATTTAAAAATTACAACATTCCTACTCCAATTACATTTTATTTATAGATTAACGAAGAATAACTCTCAACGCGTTGTTTTTATGTGCGTTACATACACACACATTTATTTATTTATTTATATATTAATAATGAAAATTAATTATAGTTTTTAAATAATTTCATTTCACAGAAATAGTGATATCAGTGGTATTTAACAAACTCGATGTATTTACATACACCTTATAATTTAAATAAATATAAAATAACAAAAGCATATAGTAACATTAGTTTATATCGAAAATATATATATATATATATATATATATATATATATATATATATATATTTGTATTTTATAGATATCACTATTACAATCTTCGATAAAAATTAATTATCTTTAAATATGTTTTATCTAATCTAATCTAATAAGTATTCTGACAAGATCATACATGATTAAGTGTAAAATCACGTTAGCGATAATTAATAAAATGCGTATGTATGTATAAAAGATAACTTTAAATGTAAGAAAAAATTAATTTTATAGAAATTTCTAATGGTTATACGTTTTTCAAATTGTATATAAACTAATTTACGGACATATTCACGAAGGCTCGGACATACAGGGACACATATCAATTTTTTTTTTTTTTTTTTTTTTTTTTGCAAGCGTTATTTTATAATAAGTTCAAGTAAATTCAGCTTTATTAAATTATTCTATAATTGATGCACAAAAATAATTATAACATTAAAATTAATCAATCTAATATTCTTTTAAATTTTTAAATATTAAAATATATTCTTTGTAGTATAAAACTGGAAATTTCTTTTGTCAAGTATCTAAGAATGTTTCATACATATCAATCATACAATAAACAGAAACGTCACATCGTACTTATATCGCACGAGTGATACGAAAAGAAGAAACTGAACAGGGCAATTGTTTTCTTAGTGTATTCATAAAATAATTATCCGTTTTTATAAAGGTATATGACTCACAAGATTTGTAAATATAAATTAAAATTTTCAAACAAAGCAAAATACAATGACTCAGTTTTTCAAGTACTCGAGACTTATAAAATGTCAATTTTCTTTTCAATTTAATTTGAATATCATCAATATAAAAGGATTCATAAACGATTCGAACTTTAGTTAAAAAAAAAAAAAAAAAAAAAAAACCAAAAACAAATGCTTTTTGTACTTAAATTTTCAAAATTGTATACAAATAAAATTAATTAATTAATATCAACTTAATGAAGTGTCAAGAATAAAAGACAGAAGGCAATTGTTAATTTCCCTGAAGAAATAATTTTATATTTAATTAATTGACAATCTACAAGGTCGATTAGAATTATCTCGAATGCTATAGAAAGCTATAAATTGTCAAAAAATTAATTAGTAACAACAACATTGTCTGAAAGTATTTGCTTAAGCTGAATCTTATAAGAAATGTTTTCTGAAGATGCAATATTATTAATATTGCTGACTTAATTTCTACAAAGGAACGTCTTTTTTTAAGTTAATAAAGAAAAACTATGTACTCGTGTTTAAATGTAAATTTTTTTTTAATTTATTGATCCGAGATAATACCATTTTAAGGAAATTACTTATTGTATAAGACTTTTATAAAAGCTTTTTCGCAAATCAGTAAATATAAAAAAATTTCATGATAAAAAATCATCATTTTAATATTTTTAAATGATTAAAGAATATATATTGAATACATTGTAGCTTCCCCCTTAGCCTTAACTTTAATGGAGAAATCACCATTAAAGAATATCGGTTCAAATGAAATTTTTTGTCATTTTCAATCCTCAATATTGATTTTTTTTTTTCATTGTTCAAGATTTCAATATTGTTTCACCAATTCAAAATTAATACTGAGTGTTGAATAATATGGTCCTATCGATAATCCATGGTGACACGGTGCTTAAAGGTGTTTAAAAAAAAAAAAAGAAACAGGAAAGAACAGCTTGAACCTTGTCCGATTCCTTGTACAGGACGACTTCCTGCTACGGCACTATGACAAGGGACCCTGCAAAAACAAGCTGGGTCATTCGCGTGCTTCCGTCATCTGGCATCGGACGCAGGTAATAGGGATCTTCGCGGGTTTCGGGCTCCTGCTCCTGGTGGCCTCGCCCCTCCTACTCCTCGCCGCGCCCTGTATCGTGTGCTGCAAGTGCCGGGTCTGCGGCTCCTCGCGCCTCGAGCAGGAGGAAGCAGTGGCGACTGTGGTACCGATGACGACAGCTGCGACAGCGGCTCAGGATGACGCTGCCACGTAAACGGCCAACGAGCCGTGTAAGGGCCAAAGAGAATCATTAATTGCGAGAATTGGTATATGGACTGGTATATAATGTACACATATTTTTTTCTGACGAATCGAAGATCTCGAGAGGATAGATAGGATTTGCATGCGAGTACGCGCGAACAAATGTATCGAGTATGCGTAAAATAAAACGCGGACTATTATTAATTACTCGCATTTCGCTGTCTTATTAATTTAATTTACGCAGGCTTACTGCAAATGAATATTTAAGTTGCTCCCGTATGCACTTAATGAAGTTCATTCATACTAGGGTGAATATTCACTATGTTAGAGTGAGATTACAGTTTAATACTTATAATTCACTCCGGAATGAGAGGATTTCACTATAAAGATTTAATCCCTAGGAATATTTTGCAATCATATGTTACTTGTTTTTTTTTTTTTTTTTTTTTTTTTAATAATAATAATAATAAAATCATTCTTTTTAGGAAACAAGCGATTCTCGATGAAATTAAAATAATTTTTAATAGTCAAACAAACGTACTTTTATCAATATAAATGTTACTAAAAATAATTAAGGCAAATAATAATACGTAAGTCTATAATTCGAAATATATGCATTTTACGTATCATAACGTGGAAAGGAATTAATGCAGGAGTGATTGACTATTTATATATTTATTTAAAAAAAAAAAAATTTTAATCTTTAAATTTATGGGAAGTTTGTTGATACGTAATTTCTTTTTTATATTTCATGAAAAATTTGCTTTCTTAGTTTTTCAACAATGAAATGAATATTCGGATAGCACTAAGCCAAATAAACTTGACATCAAAATTAATTGAAATTAATTAAAACTTTCAATTTTTCGAAAACTCATTTTATTTTTATTAAAAATTCTGTAAATATTCAATAGATTTTACTTATAATATGTTTTTTTTTTTTTTTTTTTTTTTTTTTTTTTTTTTTTTTTTTTTTTTTTTTTGACAAAGTAGAGTCGTTTTTTATTTAGTAGGTTACATTTTATTTTCGATAAAATAAATCTTATTTTATAAATAAGTTTTGCAAACTAATTTTTCATGTGATTATTATTGTTATTGTTGTTGTTATTATTATTATTATTATTATTATTATCAGTACTACTACTACTTCTACTTCTATTGCTATTATTATTATTATTATCTTCATCGTCGTCCTCCTCTTCATCATCATCGTCATCATTATTATAATTATCATCACTTTTATTATTTGTTATATTAGAATGAGATATATTTATTAAATTAAAGACTGCATAAAGAGATCGTTATTTTAAATATTTATATTTTCGTGATTTAATGTGTATAATAGAAAATCGCGTTACTTTAAATTAAATGTTAAATTTTTCTAAAATCTTCCAAACTTGATTAAATGAAATATTTATAAAGAGCCAACATATTCGTTCAATACAAATATATACTTTTCTAATTACAAGAAAAAGAGAAGATGCGCATATCTCATTAGAGTTGTTCATTTAATGCTTTTTTACTCAATGAAGTGTTTTTTGAATTCTTCAAAGTTAAGCAAATTAAATAAATTCTAGCTTGTTTTTAAGATTTTCAAATTAAATAAGAACAGAAATGCAGACAACTCTCTCACGATAGACTAGATTCTACTTATATTCGTTTGTTAAAGATTGGCATTGTTTGGTTGCTTGTATATGCTTTTGATTAATGATAATAAAAATTGATTTTTAAGTTATTGTAATATTGAAAAAGCAAAAATAAAAACCATTCCGCTAATACAAATCAATTAAATGTTCAAGAAGGCTTTAAAAACATCAAAGAGTAACAACGTCGATGCTTATTTTAAATATATTATTATTTAATTAGTCATTATATCTAATGTCAAATAATACTAAAAGTTTTTATTGTTCTTCGTAATGCATACCTTTGAGTTAATATTCCCAGTGTAAGTAAACGTATTTTAGATAACAACATATCGATACATTTATTATTTACCAACGACTTTACATATTATAGATAATTAAAGCCAACTTTTTTTTTTAAATTTTAAGGATAGTATTAATTCTTGAATTCATTTTACTTGTACTACTACTACTACTACTACTACTACTACTACTACTACTACTACTACTACTACTACTACTACTACTACTACTACTACTACTACTACTACTACTACTACTACTACTACTACTACTACTACTACTACTACTACTACTACTACTACTACTACTACTACTACTACTACTACTACTACTACTACTACTACTACTACTACTACTACTACTACTACTACTACTACTACTACTACTACTACTACTACTACTACTACTACTACTACTACTACTACTACTACTACTACTACTACTACTACTACTACTATATTAATATTTGCTGACTGTTGCTGCTGCTATTACTTTAACCACTGTTATTATTATTGTTGTTGTTGTTGTCGTTGTCGTCGTCGTCGTCGTTGTTGTTGTCGTTGTCGTTGTCGTCGTCGTCGTCGTCGTTGTTGTTGTCGTTGTCGTCGTTGTTGTCGTTGTCGTTGTCGTCGTTGTTGTTGTTATTGATGTTATTAGTAGTAGTAGCAGTAATCATCATTCTAGCATAAGAATAAATTTTAAATATATAATGTTTCTATTTTTGGTTATGCTATAACGGTTTTTATTTTGTAAAATAGCATTTTATTATATGTACAGAATTGTTAAATCAAAGATGAATGTTGTATTTTTCTATTATTGTCATATTAATTTGAATAGTTAGTTTTAAAAAAGTTAGAAAATTAAAATATTTGAAAATTCATTAAATTAATCGTAATTATGATGAAAACATCAAGATTTGTTGTTATAAATAAGCAAGAGGTTTTGTATACATATAATATTTGATTACTTATACATACAAAACAAAATTCCACTGTCATAAGAAGAAAAAGTAATATATTGTAATTAAATGAAATTAAGGAAAATGTGTTATTCGTAAAATCTAATGATTACTGTATACAACAATAAATAATAGAAACTTATTAATTGAATAATGAATTAATAATAATCATAACACTAATTTTAGTAGTAATAATAATAATAGAAGTGGCAGTTACAGTGCAGTAGCCGTAACCGTGGTAGTAGTAAGTAATAGTTGCAATAGAAATAATCATAATATGCACGCATACAAACAATCTCAAATTGTAAGTTTATAAGTGGACAGAGATAATTGATTATTATTCGACTAAAATCATATTGAATAAATAAAGTCTCGAACGAAAATTTGAACGGTATATTGTTTAGACGTCTGCCACCGAAAAAAATATGATCATTCGACAAATGCCATTATACTGTCATTCGTGAATTTTCATTATCAAAAACTAATCAAATAATCATATTTATAATAACTCATTGTTTCTTTATTGAACACAATGTAGCTATTTTTGTGATAAGATAAAAATAGTTAATAATAGAATATAACAGTATAAGAAACAAAATTTTTTTCCAAACTTGCAAATCGCATACATTAAATTAACAAGTGAAAAATTAGATTATAATTATAATAATAAATGTACTTGTATTATTAATTATTTATTATAATTTTTTTTATATTTTTAAAAATTGACTTTCTTCGAATTTTTCTTCAACGTATACTGATCTTAATCGTCTTCCATTAAATCGAAAAGCATTCAAGTAACATATAATAATTATATGTATTAATAAAAAAAACCAATAGTCAAGTAAATCTACATCTTCTTTTTTTTTTTTTTTTTTTTTTTTTTTCATTTGTACGGTTATTTGCATTCATTAAATTAGTTTTAAGTAAGTGAGACGAATAAAATTCAAATGAATAAATTTAATAGAATTTTAAAGCTCTAAATAATTATTCAATAAATAACTAACAACTTATTATGAGTGATTGAATTTTATGTCTAAATTATGTTTAAATAACGATTCGTCTTTTATCTATCAAGTAATTAAAGAGTTGCATTTTAAAAATTTCGTCTAATTTTTTTTTGTAAAATTCTGAAATAATACTATTGTATTAGATAGAAATTTAATCAAACATCATAAAAAATATTCAACAGCTATTTATTAAGAACAAATACTTTAAATATATGTTGTATTAAGATACCTAACAACACTAAGTAATAGCAAAAATAAAATTAATAGTTTATGTTTTATATTTCTTTTATTATAAAAAAAAGAAGAATATTATTATATAATATAGAAGGATACTCACCTAATGATTCCGTTCAACTTTCCAGCAGTTTTATTTATATTTCTTTATTTTTTAAATGAGAATCACTTGAGTAATCTAAATTGAGTGTGAGTAATAGTCTGATTTGCATCTGTTTTAAAAAATTTTCTTGTAATTATTTTAAGTGTTCGTATAAATTATTAAAAAAAAAAAAAAAAAAGAAAAAAAAAAAAAAAAAAACAAAAACAAGAGAAAAACAAAAAAAAACATCGAAAAACTACAATTGCATTATGCCATTAGTAAAATATTGTCTGTTAAGGGAAGTATTTAAATTAGTATGTTTAAAAATACGACTTAGAAATATAAAGTTTATACAAATAATGACTTTTTGCAAAACAAGCTTATTTATAATATACCAAGTTTCATAAGATTTCATATTTTTCGTTTTAAATTTTTAATTTAAAAAATTGTACATTATTTACAAAATCAAAGATTTGATTTTACGTAGTTTAACAATATCTTCATACATTAAATGAATTGTCAAGAATTGTAAAAACTCTTCAATATATATTTCAAGTGAATTTTAATCATTCTAAAGTTGCATATCCTATTATAATTACAACGAAGATGGTCGAATATATATTTTCATAAAAAAATTAATTCTAAAAAGCAGTTGGACAAATTTTTAGAGCTTTCTTAAACATAAAACATTAGGAAACCCGATACGTCTATTAAGAAGTCAGAAATTAAAATAATAAATAAATAAAAGGCTAAGAAAAATTGTTTTCTAAAATATAATGTTTTTTTTTCCAATTTTAGTACTTATAGAACAAGAAATTTTTTGTATATTTTACAATAATTGTTTAAATTTCAATAATTCTATATAATATTGTATTATAAATATGCAAATTATAATGGCATAAATAACTATTTACGTAAGTGCATATCATTGTACTATGTATTGTGGGAAAATATTATTTCTTATTTTAACTACAATTATCATTAATTTTTTTAGATGATAAAAATTTCTTTTTTGTGATACTCGTTACTTTAAAATTCAGATATTTATATTTACTTGAAAGTGAAATTGTGCTTAGACGAATAAATAATTTAATTATCTTAATTTCGAAAAATCGAGAGCCTTTATTTTTGTCATTCTAAATTACACGTCGGTCATTGTTAGTTTCTGTTTTATTGGAAATTTAAACATACACACACACACACACACACACACAAAGTATGTGTTTTCAATGTTTATATTTATTTTACTATAATCTCGTTTTATATTATATTCAAATTAGGAGCACAAATAAAATTGACAAATTTTAATCTTCCGAATTTCTAAGAAATCCAAATAAAGATAAAATAGAAAGAGCTATATTGAAACTCAAGAGCATTTATTTTATAATAATATAATATGTTCTAAACTTTAAAAGTATTTTGTTTTGTATTTGCATTTAAGGAGTAATAAATAATAAAATGAATAATTATATGTAATTTACAAATAAAACTAATGTTACATGCGTACTAAGAAAAAAAATTTTTTTTTATCCTTGATTGTATCAATAGCTATTGAATATAACAGTATACTTTAATTTTTAATGAATTTTTAAAAAATTATAAACACCAATAAATTATAATTAGCATAAAATTAAAAAATAAAAATAATATTATGAATATTAAAATTATTTGAAGATAAAATCTACCATTAATTAGATAACTCTTAATATTACTTTGATTTGATTTTTATCGATTTTATTTTTAATTTTCAACTCAATATAAAATATTTGTTAATATTACCTTAGCTAAATTTGTTATGATCAATTATATAATAAAACGAGTTTCATATTTTAAGTGAGGCACTCCAGGTGCTCACACCACACCATTATAAATAAGTGTTAAATAAAAATGTATAGATTATTAGATAAAGGCAGATGAGACTTTTAAATAATATAAAATATTACATTTCTTAATTTAGTAAAAGAAACTATGAACTAAGCTGAGTATTAAATTAGATAGTTAGAAGTTATTGAAAAAGATAAGTTTAAACACTATTAATATTCGTCAAACTTAATGAATAAAGGTACTAAAAAGAATTTAATAATGTTTTAATTTAAGGGTACTTAATTTATTTTTGACTGGAAATATAAATAAATGAAAACTATTGTTAGTCCGACATACAAAATTATGAATTATTTCTGTAAATGTACTTACAAGCAAAATATTAATTCAAGACACCAGAAGATATTGAAATAATGTACATATTAATGATGAATCTTGCAGATTTAAGAATACTAAATGTCAGATTAATTATTTGTTTAAAAAATAATACTTAATTTTAGATCCCTAAGATTCATTATTCGGTACAAAAAACCTCTTAAATTTGTAAGAAGCCATCATATTTTACATCTTATTTTTTTTACGTCCTAGTAATCATAATATTATATACTAATCTTGACAAATAATAGCTTCTATCTTATTTTTGTTGATGTACGTTAAAACTGTTTAAACAGTAAATAATCAATCAACTCGGTGGCAGTTATCGTGGATTTCAATTACTTGTATAATACTATTCAATTTAATTTTAAGACTATTAAATTTTGTAGTCGTAATTAATTATATTAAATTTGTCGATATGTATAAAATATATATCTTCGATTTGAAGTTAACACGAAATAAAAGGTGTGAAAAATTTTTTTAATTTCGAATTTACAATATTGTAAATTATTTTTATAATGAAAGTTTATTCTTAGCCAAAGAAAAAATTTTCTCACAAATTCTTATTTAGGTCTACAGTTTAAATTGAATACTTTTATCATTGTCATACCAAATATAGGTATAACAAATAAGATAATAATAGAAATTTAAGCTTAATTCAAATTATAAATCTAAATCTTATGGCAATTTAAATTATAAATGACCAATTTAAATTTCTATTACAGAAAAAAAAATAATAATAATAATTAAAAGACGAAATATAAACTATCCTAGTCATTGATAATTAGATAATAAAAGAGTAATGTTATACATAAAGAAAATGATTTATGAAAAGAAAGAGAAATAAAGAATATTTATAAATATTTTTTAAAATTACATTATCAGAGTAACTAACATTTCGTATAGTGCCAAACATGCCTGAAAATTGAAAACATTAGCTACCTAAAAATTACCAATTATGTATTGTTAGTTACAATCATTTGCAATTTTTTTTGCGAGAAATTGGTATATTTATATCGTCATGTATAATAAAGCAGAAAGACTATTAAATTTGTAAATTTTGGTCGAAAAGTATCATTTAAAAATAGACAGAATTCTGTCATATGTAATTATATGATGTAATAGTTCGAATTGTAAATAATACCTATCGAACCATTTGTTTGCCTTAGTTTTGTATAGTACCGCAAAATAAATTATAAAAAATTAATAATTATACATATAACGAAAGAATGTTAAAATATAAATAAAAATTATATGAATGAATTGTTGTAAAAGCAAAGATAATTTTTAAATATATTAATTCTTTTAACCTTTCTTATCACCAATTACATTTAATATTTTAATATAATATTAACAACATATATATGTGTCTTTAAAACATTTATGTATTTTTAATTTTTGTTATTAATATTAGACAAATCATATACAAAATGACTCTAGAAAATTATTAATTCACTAGTTCTCCATTTATTTACAAAACTTACTCATGTTTTCTTAATTTTAATTTTATAATATACATACAATCGGTTTAGGAGAAAATATGAAAATGCTATCATTATATAATTTAACTAATCGAATTACAATTTACTTTTTCATATAAATTCATGCAAAATGTCTGTACAGAAGTTTATTCCTTTTTTTTTTTTACTTCATAACTTTAACTTCATGGAGAATAATTTGAAATTCTCATTTTGACGATATTGAAGCCCATTCTCACAGCTCACTTTTTACATTATTCGCATAACAAATAAATAAGAGCTTACAAATAATAACAAATAGATAAAATAAAATAATAATTAAAGTAGTAAACACAGAATAAATTTTACTATTGCATGCAACTTTTTTTTTTTTAATATTAAATAATATGAAGACAGTGCAGGCATTTATAATTTAATTTGAATTTGTTTGAAACATATCATAATTATAAATTGTAGTTTATGCATTTTAATTTTAACAACGCTATATAAATTAGTTAACGTTGAAATAAATTTCGAATTATTTAACGATGCCGTTGAAAACAAATGTAAAATTAAAGAGATAATATTGAAAAAAGAAACTTTTAAATTCAGATTTTATAGAACTTTTTTTTTTTTTTTTTTTTTTTTTTTTTTTTTTGTAAAACAAAGTATATAAAAAGTTTTACAAATCAAAATTCGGTAACCGTCGAAACCTATTTAAAATTGTGAGTATCTTTACACTATATTTGTACGTATATAAAACACAGTAAAACTTTTAAGTCCATTTTATCTAATTCGAGAATCATTATATTACAGAAAATGTATTAAAAGTAGATCTTTCGTATTTAAACGCGTATTAAAATTAATATTAATAGATGTCTAAAGTAACGAAAAACAACGAGCAAGAACATTTTACTTTGTTACAGCAGTAATTACTAGCTTTTTTTTGTTTTGTTTTTTAAAGAGAAATGTTTCCAGGTTTGCTGTATTGTCCAAATCTTGAATGTATATCAACAGCTCTAACAGCAAAATAGTAATTATTTCCTTCGGTAAACTAAAAATAAAATAATTAACAATATTAATTATTTTGAAGCGTATATAGCAAAGGCACTAAAATTTTAAACGTTAGAAATATATAATAATATAATTCATGAATTGTTTATTTTTAAAATATGTTACAAATCAATGTCTTTCACTTGCGTTTTGTCCATCATTTAATGATAGTTCTGTGAATGTAAAAATATTATTAAATTTCTAGTCGAATAGGCAAAAAATTTATCATAAATTTCATCTACATTTACTTAATTATTGTAAAAATGAATTTAAACTATTGTTCTTTCATTTTGATATTAAATTTATCAATCGTAATTAATATAGAATAAATATTGATTAATATTAGTTTACCTCGTGTATTTATTGTGTGTTTCAGTTTATTGTGATATGTAGGTATTCATAAAAACAAAAATAAATAAATAAATTGAATTTGATGAAGGTACTCTTCAAAAGATGAAATCAAATGTGGCTTTATGAAAGTATATATATATATATATATATATATATTCTATCAAGGTATATTTGTCAAAAATAAATGTAAAATAATTCCAAAAATCTTCATAAGAATATTCAAAAGAATTCACATTTTATGAATTATGGTCAATGAACAATTCAATAATATTCCATGATATATTTAATATAAAAGTATATTTTGTTTATTTTATAAATAAAGCAATTGTCAACAAATTTTAAGCAAACCAAATACAGGAAATTTCTACATTTTATAAATTGTATTTGTAATGTATTTTACGAAAAAACGACATAGAAACGTGTGTTAAAAAAAATTTTGTTAAAATTTTAGTGCTTTTTAAATATTGTTAATGAATATATAAAATAAATAGCACAAGAGTAAAATACCTGCGTTAAAGTGCAAGCCATTGGCAGTGGCAACGCTCTCACATCACCGACTTTCTTCCAAAGGGACGCACTAGGGGACGTTCCTGCGACCTCTTGATAAGCATATAATTGATAACTAACGATTTCCGCAAATTTATCCGATAAAGACATGTTCCATGATAAAACAATGCCTAAAATTGCAAAAGTATGTACATAAAAATTGTGTTTCAAAAATTTGTTGAATCTAAAAATTTACATTTTATTTATAAAATGTTACTCGTTATATTCTGCTATTCTTTGCTTAAACCACTTTTTATTTAGACTTTCAAGGTAGGTGTTAAAATTATATCATTAATATTATAATTCACATATCAACAGCTATAAATTCCTTATTAGTTTAATTTTTTTTTCTTCTTCTAAACAAATATATGCATTGATGCTTTTAAAAATAGTATTTGACATACATTTTAATCTTCCTTACTATAAATCACATTACTTGTATATAATATTAGAACTGAAATATCTAATTTTATGTACAATCTCGTATATTGTTTCACTTTTCTTTTACATTGCAAATTAATTTCTTCGTATGATTTAATGTAGTAATTTGTTGTAGTAATACTATGCAATAATTATAATTTTTATCACAGTGCGGACTGTATAAATCTTTTGATTGTATAAATTTATTTGTTCAACAGATTCTGATGATCTGATACTAAATTAGAAAATGGCGTTTCGTATAAGTAATTAAATAGTAAATATAACTATATTATGTAACTACGTACCTGTTGCTACTTTAGATATTTTCAACGATGGGGCAGGTGGAGGTGATTTCCAAGACGGATTTGATTCCGGTACAGAACTCTCTGGTAATGGCGCTGGATGCTATAATAATAAAATTCCATATAAACAATAATATTGATATTGCGTAAAAATTTAACACAATCTTATTGTCATTACCTGCAAGTTTGTGGTAGGGTTTTGTGCTGTTAATACCCTCACAGTTCCATTTGTCAATGTCGGCACCCCTGAAGAATTTGTTATTGAAATTTACATTTATCTCATGTACGTATATAAAGGGTTTGACCAAAATTGTATAACATACCTTGTTTATAACTAATGGTTGAAATATTTCGCGTCGAAACAGTTGTGACTGGTCTTATCTATAATTTAGACACATGCTTAAATATAAAAAACTTATTAAAATTACTATTAATTAATTGATAAAAACAGTTAACTTACCGTATTGGAATTTGTTAATACTAATTGTCTTGTGGGCACACCACTCTGCATAACATAAGCTAGCCTCGGTGTATTGATATTATTCTGAAAATAAAAGTACAATCTTTAATATGCCTTATTGAAATATAGTGATATGAAGTGACGTATTAGTGATATGTATATATAAATATATAAATTATATATTTATATATAAATAATACTTACAACTATGGCAGTTTGAGAGGCTTGGTTGCCGCCACCCTGAACTAATCTAAGATTGGCTTGATTGTTAAGTGCGACACTTGCTGGGACAGCTTGAAGTACTCGCGGAAACCTCGTAGTTATTCCTGTGGTTATCGGTGAGATCACTGAAGCTAAAACCGTTGAATTTTTTTAAAGCATTGTCAAACAAATAAAGAGGTTTGAACATTTTAAACGTAGTTGTAATTAGAAATTTTCGGCAAATTTTCGTTCGCAATATACGAAGAGAAAAAAAAGCAGTTTAAAGCACAAGGCAACGAATATCCATTTTTAATGTTCTTAGTAGCCTCATAGGAATAAAATTATACCTCTATTTGAAATTCAAAATGGAAAGTATATAAGTTAATTTCTTTTTGAGAAAATGGCCCTTACTTATCCCACCAAACTAAACTTGGCGCTTACTTTTGGACTTATCCTCTTCGTCGGTAAGATCAATGAGGTCGCTCGCCTTGTTCGCCACTGTATTATTCGGTTTCTGAACCGAGAGACTCGTCGTCGCTCGGGTCGTCGACCCAGCAATATTCGAATTCACGACAACGGCTTGCTGTTGCTGCCCAGCCGGCATCAACTGCACAATATTATTATTTGAATTCTGCAGAGTTATTGTACGTTTAGGACTCTGGTCCATCGGCTTGCTCATGACTAGGGTTGTCGACGTTGTATTATTGCTATTAGCTGTCGAATTCGTGGCCGATCCAGGACTACCTGGAGCGACAGCGGGACTCGACGTCTCGGGCCTTCGAGGTGATCGAACCTTTAGCATTTTTCTGGGGCTCTGGGTTAACGAACGATTATCCTGAGCTGTTGTCATCGTCGCGGTAGATGGTGTAGTCGTGGTTAACGTCGTCTTTGCCGTAACAGCCGTACTTGTGTTACCAGCAGACGTTTTCATCGCTTGAATTTGCTTGAGATTATGAATCCCATGATCCTGTTAAGCAAAAAGTATTTAAATGTTGAGCTATACAACCCAACTAATATGTGAGTGTGCGTGTGCGGGCGCGCGTACGTTGGAAAGTATTATTATTTAATATTTTAATTACTGGTTGGTTTAATTTTAATTAAAAAAAAAAGTTAATAAATAAAATATGAGAAGGAACTTTTTGACATCTATACGCGAATTATATTATATGGTGTTTCAAATTATTAAAAAAAAAAAATTATTTAAAGAAATAATTGTAAAACCATAGTGAAGAAGATAATATGCTGCTGATATATAGTAATTTAATTTGTTTAAGAGCCAAAGTTTTGAGTTTGGATTATATGTTTGAATGATTATCCTAATTGGCCAATAATTGTGAAATAATTGAGGGATTATGGTTGTCGAAGGGCAATGTTGAAACTTGATAATAAAACAAAAAACAAATGTAAAAGAAAGAAAGAACTCTCGGGCTAAAAGAGACTAAGCTTAACTAAAGTTGGAGAAAGAAATTCTGAAGCTTTTAAAAATAAAATTTGCATTCGGCAAGGCGTTGTACGATGTAAATTCTACGGTTACATAAGCGAACATTGATAAAACGGTCGCTGTACGACGAGAATGGTTAAACGTATGGACGCATTGGTTAAAAATATAAGACAAATATCCGCTTTTCATTTATTAATCTCATCTTTGTACACTGAGTTGGCACGATAAAGCCTTTTTAAAAACTTTCAAAAGAATGTGTAAACTATCTGCTCTCGATAACTTTAGAAATGCGTATAAGATAATATAGATACACATCGGTCACATCGCCAGTTGTCAGCCATATGGTGGTGGTTGTTAAAGCCATGTGGTGACAAAATTGGCCAGGCCGATGCACTCGAACCGTTGAAGGATATTATGATAACGAAGAGAATAATTTTTCTTAATTTTTCGTGAGAAAGCGATTAATCGTTACGTGTCGGAATTGTGCGGTTTTAAGAAAAGCAAAGAACAACGCAACTTTTCGAGATTAATTATTTATTTTATAACAATCCCCAATGCTTAAGAATACAATATCCATAATATCACATTAACATAATTTACATTATATTTGGCTCCTAAGACAATTATATAATTACAATTTTTATGCATTTATAATTATTTGAGTAAAGTATGAATGAAATTTAATTAATTATATTACGAATTTATTACAACTAACAAAATTTCATTTTTAAGTCGCAATTTATTATTATTATTATTATTATTATTATTATTATTATCTTTATAGTGTGTAAATAGTATTAAGTATATAGTATCGTGAAATTAAATAAAGCTACAATTTCGTGATTAGAATCTTAATAAAACGAATGTCTTATTTTAAATTGACGTTAATTAAAAATGACTGATTTTATTATTTTTTTTATTTTATTTTATTTTTTTTTCATGGGCCTATTTCTTTATACAGTAAGGCCTGAAACGTATACGTTTAATTGCGTGAGATTCATTAATACATTTAATTAGAATTTTATTAAATTTATAAAATTACTCACGGAAAGAAAATTTACTTGTAGACCAACAGATCGATTGATTTTTATTGGCGGTGCGTATTTATCATTATTACTATTTTTATCAAAACTTATTCGCTTTAAAACCATATCGAATCCCTCCACTTGTTTTTGAAGCTGTTGGCACTTGGTTCGAGTAGCTTCTTGATTTCTCTTCGATACACGCGCTTGCTCTCTTAGCTTTCCCATTTCTCCGCGAATCGTTATACATTCCACGATTTTTTGAAGAAGCAGGGCCTCTAATTCCTATGGAAACAAAAAACAAAAAAAATCATGCATTCATGATTGGTTAACTTTTCACTTAGCTTGCTTAAAAGAGAAAATAATAAAAATATTTTTAACCGCATTATTCGTCAATTTTAAATATACTATTTTGAACATTTAAATACATTGACGTGTTTTGTATTTGAAAAAAAAAAAAAAAAAAAAAAAAATTACAAAATATATTTACATAATTTTTATTTATAATGTATACACAATACTCATACATATGTAAATTTCAATATAAAGAATAATATATTTATATGCTTTTTAATTGTAATGTATAAATTTGTTCAAATACCTCTTGCTTCAACTTCTTCAATTTTCCTCTAATATCTTCTTGCGATATCTGTCTTACAAGCTCATTCGTCTCGGCTATACTTTCTTTACTTTTCGTAACATATTCCTTATTTTCATTAGATTGTGGTATCGTTGTCGATGAGTTATCTCCACTAGATTTTATCCTTTTCAAGGTAACACTTTCGGATATACAGTCGGCATCATCAAGAGTTCGTTTTAATGATGGCGGTGACAACGATTGCGTATAATTGGGCTTTTTATAGTTGACGGGTACAAGTTTACCTGACTCATCACTAGAATCTTCATCATCTTCGTCATTTTTGAGAATCTCCTTCCGTATCATTTCCTCGGCATTTCTAGCTGATCGACGTTTTTGTCTCACACCATTTTCTATTAACATTTTCACCGAGTTGAAAAATTCATCTACCGTTTACAAAAATAATGTTTTATATATACCAGATATTGCTTTAAAATTATTTATATACAAAATAATGATCATTTTGCTTATCGATTGACGACATTAATGTATCGTATCATTTTCTAATTTGTTGCTTTCAAATATAAAATAATTGCAGTTTAAACATATTTTACACTATAATCATTGTAACTGATTATTAGACAAATAAATTCAAATTGATAATGACGATTAAAGTAAAAACTACAATCGATTATTTAATTATTTATGAAATGCTTAAATGTTCAACATGCTAGTACTGAAATGCAACAATTCTTAATCGTTTAAACTATTAAAATTTTTTAATTAAAATATCAAAAGATTATATATAATTTCCTCGAATACTATTAATCTATTGAAAATAGTAATTTGTAACATAAAAAGTTTTCAAAAGAAACGACATAAACATAAATTAAATAACTTTAAAATGTGTCGTTCGTATATTTCTTAAAAATGTAAAATAAATTGAATGCTATTTTAAAAAATTTGCAACATAAATGAACGTAAACTTATAATTGTAATTATTTTTATACATTGTGTAATGAGAATATTATATACTGTAATAAATTCTTTTTATTTATTAAAAAAAAAAAAGATCTATATATTTTCAATATGAGAGAATAAATAAACATCATACATTTTTACAATTTTGATAAATTTCATTTCAAATTAATCATATATTGCATTCCCCGTTGATATTACTCGAAACGCATTACAATATTTATTGTTATATATATATATATATATATATATATATATATATTTTGTAAAAATATCTATTTTTATACGATATTATAATATATAGAAATTACAAATAGTTAACATCCATAAGAGAACGAAATTTTATAATTCATTCAAAAACCAATTTAAAAATAAATATTATGTGTACTCATAAAATAATTGATACCCGTATACGTAAAAATTTCTTTTTAATTAGTAATAATCATAAATGTATTATTGTCTGTAATAAGAAAACTATATTATAATGTAGGGAACATGAACTTTTTAAAAAATAATAAACATATAACTTTGAAAGACACTTCAACGAAACCTAATTTAAATGAAGCAAAAGTATCTTTTAGTTATTTTGAACAATAAGTAAACCATTATCATTGATATTTGTAATCATTTTGTTGACCTCAGAAAAGCCGTATAAAAATTATATCATTAACTATTAATAAACATTCGATAAATTAATACACTTATTAAGTTTTATAATGATTTCATTCAACATTTGAATTTTTACATAATTTTGATTTAATAATATACTTGAATTTGACTAATAATAGTAATTTTTACTATATTTATTTATATTTAAAAAAGTATTCTGATAAATTAACTAGTGAAATGTGCAGTAACCGATCTTTTCTATAATTTTTATAATTTCTATTTAATTTATTACCTAATATAATTAATTAAATATAATATTAATTGTATGGAGAATCGACACTTAAGTTAAAATGTACTGCACAACCAACGTATCTCAATGCAAAATAAAAAAGTATATTAATATACTTATTATTGAATTTATAATTTTACTGATTCTCTTAAATATACTAATTACAATTTTATCATATAATATTTATCAAGTAATTACTTCTATCGCGTTACTACTGTCTTCATATAATTTAGTAAAGTTTACGATGATTTTTAATTATATTAATTTGGAATAGTCAATTTTTTAAACAGAATTTTTTTTAAAGTTTAGAAGCTCGAAAATAATTATTTAGAATTTTAAGTAAGGATTTAATAAATTCTTGTGGTGCTAATGGAAAATGATTTTAAATGATTTAAAATGATTTAAACATACTAATGGTGCTTCAACAAATAAAAATAAGAGAAAAAAAATTTTCATTTATATATAACTAATTCAAATACTATTAATTTAATATTTACTTCCAAATTACGTCAGTCAACATATTGCTTTACAATACTTATGCAGTAGTAAATTCTAAAATAACTAATGATTAAAAGGTGTAATCATTTTTTTTAATTTATGAAAATTTATTGATTTATTGATAGAAAATTAAATTACAGAAAGTATACGATAAAAATTGACTCCTCGTACTTTTATCATCGGGTTATCATAAAAACGAGTACTTGATATTATGATTATATGATTATAGCATAAGATTTGTTGAAGGAAGTCAAATAAATTTGTAAAAATTTGATCGAAGAAGTATTAAAAAGGTAAAGTGAAGTGATTTAAAATAAAAATGAAACTTTACATATTATCGTTTACATATTTAATGAAAATAAATATTCTTATTGTATGCTATATGTAGAAACGAAATTTTATCAAAGAACCTAATGGCAAAATACTTTCACGTTCATTGGAAAAAATCGTCAAGAAATTAAAGAAATTAAAAAAGAAAAAAAAAAAATTCTAAATAATTAAAACCCTCATAAAAAATATGAAATTTATATATGATTAAAATTAAATTTCTTATATACAAACAATTGCGTGAATTTTTAAACTAATAATATATTTACTTGATTACTTTTAAACTATTGATGCAAAACTATGGAAACGTTGAAATTGTATTATCTAAGTGAATATTTCATTAAAAAAAGTAGTAAAAATTTTATTTTTATTACGACACAAGTGCCCGCAATATCTTATTTCTTAATTATAATTATTAAAAGAAGCATGATTTGCAAATCATATTTTCTAATAAATATTTACTGTATTATTTACCTGTTTGAATTTCATTTGATGCAATTTCTAAATAAGCAACGTTACTAAGTCTTTTCCTACGTCGTCTTTTGTGAACTACCGCACGTCCATCCTTATTACTTTCTTCAACTTTATTGCCATCCTCGTTACTAATAGGAACTATTTGCGATGTGTCTTTATTAACCGTTGTAGTAGTGCTTGTAACGTCGTCTTTGTTTTTTAAGGTGTCCGATTGAATATCGTTGGAAATAACGGCTACAGCCATTTCTGATTCATCGTCAACCAAGTCGACTTCTTCGATAGGACCACTGAGTTTTTCTTGCTCATTGGACCCGGTAGAATTTAATTTCTCTTCTCCTTCTATAACTGTAGCATCTTTTGATTTTTTAGAAATTTGTTTAATTTTGCCGGCTTCGGTTTCCTTTTTTACATCGCTATTGATTTTATCGTTCTCCAACAAACATATTTCTTCGTTTTTTTTTTCATTTTTATCAATGTCATTTGCGTCAGAATCCTTCACATCTATACAAGATATTAAAATGGAAGAAGATTCAGTCTCAATGTTTTCATTTAAAATTTTACTATCTTCTTCACTATTTGTTGTTTGAATTTCTTTACTATCAGTTTGTTCAATTTCGGAAGTTTCCATTTGACTAATTGATTTATCATCTAAAGAATGATTTGTATTTTCATTCGTCTCAACAGCCTCACTTGATTCTTTATCATTAAATACATTTATATTATCAGCTTGCTGCTCTGCATCAAATTTTTCACTTAAACTCTTATTATTATTCTCACTTAATTCTAAAACAATGTCTTTGGCATTGTCACATTCCCTGATTTGATCACTATTACTATCTTTATCAGTATGGGTAGATAAATCTTCGTTACTATTATCAATTTCCATTTCAATTTCTGATTTGTTTTCTAAAAGATTTTCATCGTGTGATGCTATTTTTATAATTTGTATATCACTAGATAACTCACTATATTTTTCTACAGAATTTTGTTTAGATTCAAATTCCACATCATTGGATGCAGAGTTTGTGTCACTATTTGTTGTCTTGTCCGCCATATCGGAATTACACTTATTCGCCTTCCTTTTTTTAATTTCTTCTGATTTAGACTCACAGTTTTCTTTTTCACATTCAATCATCGACACATCACAGTCTTTGGTTACGGATAAATTCTCATTGTCATTTAATATATTATCCATTGTATTTTCATTATTTTTCATTTCATTATCAACTAAAATACCAATATTACTATTATTATCATTTTCATTGTGTGTTTTAACATTACACGATGCGTCTTCGTTAGAATTTTGTGCATTCTTTTTTGGATTTAAATCTGTTTCTGCGACCTTACTTTCTTTATCATTCATTTTCATACTAGAATTCTGAATAGACGAATCTTTTTTTTTTGACTGAGCATTATTAGAAATGCCGTTTTCCTGTATCGAATGCTTTTTATCGTTAGTGTTTTCTAAAGTACGTATATTATGTTTCGATTTCAATGATTCTTCCGCCTCGTCCTTTTGTATATCTTTATTACGATTTCCTCCAGATTTATTGTTATAATTTCCTCGTATATTATGCCGTAATTTATTAAAATGATTGTTATGATGATTAAAATTATTTCTGTTGTTAAATTTGTCTTTTTCTTGATACTGTTGATTGTACCAATCATTAGAATTTCGATGAGAAAAATTTTGTCGACCTCTAGGTGAATTTATTCCTTTCCATCTTTTATCAAAATTATTAGACCAAAACTTGCGAGAATTTTGCGTTAACGGTGGTGCTTTTTCACTTCCACTCATTGTTGATTCTTCGTCATTTACATTACAACTTTCATTTGAAAACTTTTTCTTTGAACTATTTTGTATGTTTTGATTCTTAATCAAAGCAACAGTATTCGTTTCGGGTAAGTCTTGCCGAATTATTAACTCTTGATGAGATTTTGTTGCTTCCTTAGGAGTAACAGCAACATGTACATCAAATTCGAGATCTGTTAACATAAAAAATCATAATTGATTAAAATGACTTATTGTTATTAAAAAAAAAAAAGAAGAAAAAAAAGAAAAAAGAAAAAAAAAAGAAGTAAGGAGTTATTTTAATAATCATATGAAAAATTCCAATATAGACAATAATTCTTAATATTGTAATTTTCATCTATTCAACAATAAGTTTATGAGAAACTAATAATATACTAATATTCTTAAAATATGAAATAGGAAAACAATAAAGTCGTAAACATTAAATTTGGTATAACTAATTTTTTTTTTTTTTTTTTGAAATAACAATTATGAAATATAGCAAATACATTTTCTCTTTTAATTTTCAGTATAAAGAAAATTTATTTGACAAATAGTTATGTAATCAAATATCCTTATTTATATCTAGTGTCTGTTGTGGAAAATAGATGGATAAATTAACATGAAAAAATTATGTAAAAGGATTAATAAATGAAAAGATGGCAAAATAAAAAATCTGAAATTTAAATTTTTCAATATATTTTTAAATAATATAGCATTGCATCTTTAGTTATTTTAAAGAAACGTAGTAATAAATATTAAATGCTTCTAATTAGTGATATAAAATTCATTAATGTCCATGTCCTCTATAAATGATACAGAATTGAGTATTTTGAACAAACTTTATTCGACAGAAAAAAGGTTTCATTATTTTTCTGACTATTTACATATTATTTCATTACTTATTGAATTATTGAAAATAATATCAATTTCATTACACTAAATTTCATATACTTAAATTGTTCTTTTTGTTGACTTTTAACAGAGTAAATGATATTACATTAGTAAAACAAAATTATTACTAAAGTAATACTAGTACATTTAGAAGCTTCCATTATTAAGGATTTATGTTATATGTTATATACATAACTCAATAATAAAAATGTCTAAGGTCAGTATTATAATAATACTAAAGGTAAGTGTAAATTTTACTTTTGCACTTTATGATTTTACTCAATGTAAAAATATATCTAATGCTCTTTTAGAAACTTTAATAATAAGACCTAATTAGTTTTATTTGATTATCAACAAGTTCCTAAATTTACATTTATGTACACAAATGATCGGTTAACTCATAACTAAATAAAAATTAGTTAGATGTACATATAAAAATTAATATCAAAAAATAAATAAATAAATAAATGTGAGAATAACTATATTGAAGAAATTTACTGCCAGTAAATACATCTTTTTATAATTTCATCGCCTGTGTGTATAATGTGTATGAGTTATTTACAGGAAAATGATTCATTTGTCAAACAACTGTCAACGAATTACACTAACTGGTTAACCAGCTCATTTTATTTAATGCTATTAATTTTTAAATCTTACCATCTTTTTTAAGCTGTAAGCTTGCTTCCTGATTTTCAGTGTGTTCTAAAGTATTTTCTTGTTCAACTTCCTCATCATCCGAAAGTCTTAAACGTATCTCATCATCTTCATCAATTTCATCAATAAACAAAATGTCATCATCTTTTTCCTTTGCAATATCAGTTGATTCTGGTACTTTTGTACTTAATAATGACTTAGTAGTAGGCAGTGTTTCAATTGTAACTGCATCCATTGTCATAAAAGGTGCATCAAAAATGTTGCAGCGATTCCATTAGTTTCGCTCAATATTAACAGTTCGCATTCTGTGAATAACCAAAATTATTTTGGTTAAAACACCATGCATTTATAAATTTTGTAATTTACATTATATAATAAAATGAATTATAATTTACATTATATAGTTCAATACATTTTATACAAAGATAAATATTATTCAAAATTAATTTAAACTTATTATGTACTCAAGCACTGGATTATGATAAAATATGAATTAATAATTATTATATAAAAAGATGATTCAATTTTTTCAATTAAAATCTTTAAAATATATGATGTTGATTTATATATATATATATATATATATATATATATATATATATATTAAATATTATTAAATAAAATTTGAGATGATGTTTTGATAATTGAATTAAATAATGAAAGAGATAACTTATATATGTAACAAATTCGTTTCTTTCTTTTTCTGTAATATATGGCCATTTATCATATATGAAATTACTAACGCTTAACAATTAATATTACTAGTAATTAAGTCAATTTAAAAACAAATACAATTAGAAGTCCATTATTAAAAATATAAATTTTATGTTATTCATTATTATTAATGAGAAAGAAACAATTTTCAATTAAAGAACTCAAATTATGTTTTCTTTAAACTTCTACAAATTATTTTCTATTTTAATGTGGTTCAATAAAATATAATAAGCAATTTATTTACACTACTCTAAACTTTAAAAAATACTAATACCTGCTTCATAAGAATTATAAACAATAATTTAAATTTTATCAAAATTAATTTTAAATCATTTTACTCCAAAATTGTCTCAAATTTGAAATAAATTGGTTAAAATACTTTTCTGTACAATCAAAACAATAATGAATTTTTAATAAAACTCGCTTTAACTTATCAAAACTTTGAAGTTGAAAAACTATCGTTAAAACCAAAATTCATTAACTATTTAGCTATTATGGACTCTCAAGAATCATATTAATCGAACCTGATAAGTGCATGTTAAGTTCTATTACATAATTTGCTAAGATGCAAAAATTAACAGTTAAAAATCTAAAATCATTAGAATATAATATACAAATTTACGAGCTTGAAAAAACCGCAATTCTTTTAACATATGAGTTATATGTGTGTGTGTGTGTGTATATATATATATATATATATATATATATATATATATATACACACATACACACGCATATAACTCATATGTTAAAAGAATTGCGGTTTTTTCAAGCTCGAAAATATGAGCTGTCGCCACATAGTGGGGGAAAGGCGAACACAGCGAACACGGTAAACGCGTCGGAGCATGCGCGTAAATTCAGCGGTACTCAACCTGTATAAATGTTGAATATATACGCACGCATTTGGCTGACTCGCTTATTGCAAAGGTCTTTACACATATTGATTTTTATTTTTAAATTAAACGAGTTTTGAACATCATGTACAATCAACTAGGCCTTTTATTTCTAATAACATTTTAATAACATTATATTTTTATATGGAAAAATGTAATAGTTATTCGTGTTTGGCACACAACACTTACAACGTACAGTGCAATGATCGAACACGTTTTGATACGAGAAAACACTGTATGAGGAGGTAGCAGCCATATTGTGATCGTTAGGTCCCATGGACAAAATTTACTTTTCCTTGTAACGAACTCATTTTATAATCTTGATAGTTTCAAATTTTGTTTTTTAATATTTTGGATAAAAAATTAACGTATTGTGCTAATCGATTATATTACTTAAATTATTTTTCAAAGTGTAGTTTGCGATTGCAACTAACCGCAGGTTTATAACAATATATTTTCTTTAAATAAAATGCGTTGATATATCAATCTTAATTTCATAATCGTATTCTACTGCACAAAACCACTTTCCGATCATTTCTACATATATTACTCAGTTTATGCATGCACTTTTAATAAAATGAATTCATTGTTCATTCCCATACCTTCATCAAAGTTATATGTCAAAATCAAAAAATATTGAGTAACTGTTGTTAAACAGATCTATAATACCTACAATAACTATCGTGAAATAGTTGTTCAACATTTTTTATTTTACAAGAAAGTTTAATGAAGGCATCAAGATCAATATTTTAATGTTTTTTCGTATAAAAATAAAATTAGAAAAAACTCGTTTTATATACAAAAATCTATATTTTCAATACCTATGTACTGTTTTCTATCATTGGTAAGAAAATGCAGTTTTGAAAATGAAATTCTCAAGGTATACAATAACCTAATGAAAATTAATGAAATACATCAAATTTGACACTAATATCTTTTTAGCAGTGTATAAGATTTTGTTGCCAGTGAAAAATAACTTCTTACTTTACAGTTTTATACAGATTTATACAGATTTATAAAGATCCACAATATAATAGGCTGAAAAATCTATTAACTTCAATGACGTTATACGATTTTTTTTATTCCTCAAAAGTTCCTAAATTTGTAATAACTGCACTGCATAAAAGTAATTTGAAGTTCAGTATATTGAAGATAAAATAACCGTAGTGCAGTCAATATGACATTAAATGGAGGAGTAAGTATTTCTTCAGATATACTGTACATGTAGGTACATATACCTCGTTCCTTCCTTTGCATACCGACATCTTGAATTTAAACTTCAATTGAGTTTCATAAATTTCCTATGCATCTAAATGATTATTTCAGTTTTAAACCTGGTTTTTCAATATAACCGTTTAAAACATTTTAAATATTTGACAGCGACTATTTTATATTATACACTATATATATAAGGAATATATATTATATATAGATAGATTATTAATGATTATTTATTCTATGTGTTTTAACATAGATTGAAAATGTCATTAAAGTAATAAAAGGTCGTTTACGCTCATAATAGATGTATATTGTATAAGACGCCAGTTTAACGTAAGCTTCTTAACACTGATAACAAATAATAAATTTATATACATTTGTCAGTTTAGTTTTTAAAAAACTATTAAAAAAATATTACTCTCTGATACAAAATTGAGCATATTCATTCAATAGAATATGAAAGATATATTCAAAATCCAAGTTATTTTTTAATATAAATTAAGATATTATACTGAAGTGTAGTTACATCAAATCTTCCATAGATTTTGATTCTTTAACATGCACATTTGTAATACAATAATTACCAATTATAAAAGTAAAATTAAGGTTTTGTTGAAAGACTAAATTGAATATTTCCATAGGTATATCTTTCGTACTCAAGTAGTACTCAAGAGGTCACTGTGCGTCAAACTAACTTTATGATGGGGAGAAGGGCGGGGCCAACAAAAAAGTAAAACTTAAGTGACTAGAAACTGATTTAGAAATAAGCGCATTTAACTATATAGCATAACGCTGATTATATAAAACATAACTTACTTATGAAATTGAAAATTAAGTCATATATGAGAGATAAATTTTTATAAATCCATAATCTATTAACTAACGGACGAAAAATATAAGAAAATAATGTATATATATAATTCAATTTAAAGTACAACTCGGAAGAAAAAAGTACTATACATTTAGTAGTTATACTAGTCCATATTATATACCCTACTAGTTTTAGAATATTTCAAAATAAATGAAAAGTATTTATGGTAAATTATTAAATTGACATTGACAATTCTTATCGATTTTTCATGCACTATTTAATTTTTAATTTTGTGTATATTTAGCGATTAATTAATAGTAAAATTCATGATTCCTTGGCACAACAAAGTTATAGCTGTAAAATGCGGATCTAAATATTATTTATTGACATCTTGCAAGAATGATCGGTAGTGATCCAATTATAGTCAGTTGCTACCGATTGTTTGCGAACGAAGGGTTAATACACTCATTATAAGTCAAGGTCAAGTGGTAAAATTGAATACACTAATGATAAAATTTCAAAAAATTCAACGATTATTAAAAAGAGAAATTAAATAACAATAACATAAATGTTCTTATAATAAAAACGATAGTTTTATCAGAATAAGATTAGGTCGTGTATATGCAGAGGGCGCTTCGTCGACAAAGGTCGGGGTTCCTGAAATAACACTCGTTTATCCCACATCCCAACTACTTCACATACAGGGGACTAAACACGAATAAACCTGCAATCGTATTTATATTACAATTGCAATTTTTCATCAAAATATGTACTTAAAGTCGATAGAATATTATTACAATGGAATAATTTATTACAGCAAATATTAATATTTAATAGCATTATATTCCATTCTACATTTACACGGATTATACATAATTAAGAGACATTTCTATTAATATGTAATTTATAATTAAATACTTATTAACTATTTGATTATTAGTTCAGATTATTAGAGAATCTAACAGAGCTCAACATCATCAATAATTGGTTAAGTCAACTCCAAAAACGAACTTAGTTTTACGCTTTTGCGGCTAACTTCACAAAGTCGTACAAAACCTAACTGAATAAAGTTCTACATTTAGGAGTAAATATTATGTTAGAATAACTATCCTACCAAAGCAATAGCCTACTGGTTATATGGCCAATCCTTGCTCAGCATTCGATTCTATCAGCTGGTACAATCGGTAGGAACCTTTGTGACTTCCTCCAGCCCTCATCCATTGATAGATGAAACTCAACTCTAAACGCGACTCGTCTGTACACTGTAAACCGCGTGCACGCTTAAATTTTGCTCGCGATATACGGAAAATGTATTCAATTTTGTTTATTTATCCTACGATTCCTGGATACACTCGATGAGTTACTTTACGGATTATGCAGTAAATACGCAACATCGGTATGTACACGTGTGCATGTGTTGTGAGTGCGGGCTTGTAGCACTCCGTCTCTCTTGCACTCGAGCGTATTGAGAATAAGTGCCGCGCGGAGAAGACGCACACGGGCGGATGCAATGGCGCGCGTGGACTAGAGAAGAGTGCGCCAAGTGTTGAGCCAGCACAAGTAAACTGGCGGCTCGTAAGCTCTATCTCTGTCTTTCTTCCCGCTGAGGTGCGCACGCTCACGTTCTCTCGCTTCTACGCTACTCGATAGTCGCTCACGAGTGAGTGAGCGAGAGAAAGAGAGAGAGAGCGTGAGAGAGCGCGCGCGTGGAACGTAGCGGGGGGGGGGGGGGGTGG